GTAGCCATCATTGCAGTCAAGCAAGTGAAGAATGAATAAAGTTGCTTCTCAGTAGAAAGGATGACGCCATTAGATGACAAGGTGAAAACAGACACACCAAATTTGACTCTCACCTTTACCCAAAGAGTCAGAGGAAAAACACAAATATGGAACTGCATCCTAATATAGGTGGGTAAGAGCACACAACTCTAGGCTCAAATGAAAGGTATTTGGGAGCTTGCAAGTCTGCTAATAAGGAATGCTGAGGCGTAAGGGAGGTCCCAGGAGACAGAATCCGAGATGTTGACCTAGTTTTCCAGAAGGGGAGAATTTCAGAGAACAATGACTCAAACATGAAGCATCTGCCATGGACCCAACACAGAAATGATTTGCAAGCAAATTCCTTGTGAATCTCTAGCCAAGGAAGCAATGCTCCCAGGGGTGGTCTCACTGTGGGTTCACTGAGTAAAGCCACACCTAACTAAGTTCAGATCACACGAGTGTCTGAACAAGCCAGGCCCCCAACATCCTTGATCCTGTCTTTGAGAAAAGAGGTGGGCAATGTCTGAGAAGGTTATCTTCACAGTCATCCACTGTATGCAGAGCCTAGTTTTACAGAACTTTCCTGGTGGGGATAGGGTTGACCTTCCTAAACTGTAAAAAAAAAAAAAAAAAAAAAAAGTTTGGGAATATAGCTCTGTGCTAAAGTGCTTGTCTTAGGACTGATCTCCAGCACTGGAAGAACTAAAAATGTAAAAAAACAAACAAACAAAAAACACAAACAAGGCAGAGGCAGGTTTTTCTCTCAAGCTGAAGAGAAATCAAAGGTGATTCTCAGGAAAGGTCAAAGGTTAATACTGTATTCTGTGAGTGTAAGAGGCGAAGACAGAATGCCAGGTCTGGCTGTCAGCTTCTGTGGGCTGGTTCACATCTGGAAAACAGGACAGTGAAATAGTGCACAGGCACTTTGGGAGTGAACACTGATTGCCAAACGTGCAGCCTGCTAAGGGCTGCACAAGGTCTGATGCAGTCAGGCTCACACGTGGTAGAGTGAGTGTGGAGACGCACTTGATGTTTGAGTGGAACATGGTAAGCAGGCACCAGAATTAAAAATTCTATAAACTCCTCCTTACCTAATACATCGCAGATACATTCCACACTTTGTCAGAGACAAAGCAAATGTATGCTGGCAGGCTGGGTGGTTTGGAGTTGAAATGTTAGAGCTGACCAAAGTCTCCTTTAATGCAGTTTATAGAGCATGATAGAAAAAGGTTCCTGTACTGCTCTATGTGGCCTGCATGTCTTTTTATTTCCCTACTTTTTCTGTAGAGTCAGACTTTAGAAAAATGTCTAAGCTACATAGAAGTTATTCAGGCACCATCTGGGTTCCTGGTAACCTATGACACAGGGATAAACAGAACTTTTTCCTTTGTCAAAGCTGACTCCATGACTGTCTGCTCTCCAGCTCACTTTGGTTTGAGGACTTTGTCAGACTGCAGACTTTGCAACCAAAAGCACAAAGGCAGAGCCTTCTGCAGCTGCACCTCCCAGGACCCAGGCTTGAGGGTGAATGCACCTGAGAGTCAGGGTGAACAAACAAGCTGTAAAACGCAGACATATGATCAGCCTGTCTTCTGATCTACCCACAGGTATAGTCACTGAAAAGAGAGAAACTCATGCCAGAGAGAGTGCTTCATCTTCTTCCTAAGGTTCTGATTGATGATGACTTGCCAATGGTACCACCTTTACAGTTTGCTGGAAAATAAGCCACACACATCCAGGGATAAAGCCTTCAAAACCAACCAACCAACCAACCAACCAACCAACCAACCAGCCATCCATCCAGTCAACCAACCAACTACCCAACCAGCCAACAAACCATCCATCTATCTGTAGCTAGAGTTTTCCTGCCTGGCCCACAGTCAGGACAAATCTCTCTCACCTGCCAGTCCCTCACCTGCCAGTCCCATAGCTGTCAGACCCAACCAAGTAAACACAGAGACTTATATTGGTTACAAACTGTATGGCCGTGGCAGGCTTCTTGCTAACTGTTCTTACAGCTTAAATTAATCCATTTCTATACCTTGCCACATGGCCCGTGGCTTACCGGCATCTTCACATGCTGTTTGTTATCGTGGTGGCTGGCAGTGTCTCTCTCACTCAGCCTTGCACTTCCCAGCTTTATTCTCCTCCTTGTCCCGCCTACACTTCCTGCCTAGCCAATGGCCAATCAGTGTTTTATTTATTGACTAATCAGCAACACATTTGCCATACAGAACATCCCACAGCATCTATCCATCCATCCATCCATCCATCCATCCATCCATCCATCCGTCCATCCATCCATCCGTCCAACCAACCGACCAACTGACCGACCGACCAATAACTTTATTTAGACAGCTCAGAGGAATCTTCTAGAGAGGGCATTTCAGTTTTTATAAAGGCCATCTTGGGACACACATGATAAAGGGAGATGTCTGAAGTTCCCAAGTTTCATACTAGATTCCTGAATCCAATTCACACTCTCTGTGACCCAGATATGCCCTTGACTGTGTGTGAATTCCAAGGACTTGGCTTTCAGAGCCTCACCTTTAAGTTTCTGGCCCCAACCAGGAGCCTGATGGAATTAAAGTATCCCATGGAATAAATCCACAAGGCAAAAATAGCACTTGAATCTATCCTGATTAAATGTTCTCCCTTCAAAGTCAGCCATATCAGTTAGACGCTAATGAACATGAGGATCTGAGTTTGAGAATAAATGAAAAATCAGATTTGAGTTGGAAATTAGAATTGAGTCACAGATAAAAGAAACTGAAAGAAAACCAGTATGTGGATGGATACTGCCTCACCAGAAACACCATCAACCATAATGCCTATGCTCTATAGAGCAAGATTCACAAAGCAAATGGAAGTAAGTGTGACATTCAACCTGGAAGAGCAAGCTTGTGCTTGTATCAATGTGGGGTGCTATGTAAGGAAAGGCCCCAGGGAGTCAGGCCACCTGACTTTAAGCCGCACTCCCCTTCCCTATTTCTGCTCTAATTTTCACAATTAAAAGTTATCCTGACACTATAAGGAGAATAAGACACCAGCCTTCTAGTGGTATCTTCAATCTTCACGTTTCTCCTGAACAGAGAAGGCAGCAGAATAGTTAGGCAGGGTTTGAAATCAGTTCAGCACCTGCTAGTAGCCTGGATATTACATCTCTCCAAGAATTATTTGTCTAAACAACAGAGTTGGCCATAATGTTAAGGAGAAGGGACACTTGAAGGTAACGTGTTGATCCTGGAACAAGTGTTCCAAGTAGGGAGGTCATTATTCCTAAAAAGTAAATGTGGGAAAGTCTCTCTTTGGGATAAGCAGGGTAGAGATAGGCGACTCATGTAGTATATTTTGCCAGGTGGTGGTGGTGCACACCTTTAATCCCAGGGATCAGGAGGCAGAGGCAAGCAGATCTCTGTGAGTTCAAGGCCAGCCTGCTCTAACAGAGCTAGCTCCAGGACAGTCAGGACTGTTACACAGAGAAACCCTGTCTTGGGCATGGGGGAGGGGAGTATATTTCAACCAGAAAGCTCTTTGCTTTAGTATTCAGGATCCTACCATAAAACATAGATCCCCCCCACACACACACACACGCACACAAAAGCAATAACTGCGTCACTAGAAGAGAACAGGTGTGTTCACTAGGCTCCTTTCTGTTGCTGCGGGAAAGTGAACATGGGGCTAGAGCAGTAGCTGACAGCTTACATCCTGATCTGAAGATAGGAGGCAGAGAGAGGGGAGGGGGAGGATGGAGACTGGGCCTGGTGTGGGCTTTTGAGTCATCAAAGCCCATCTCCAACAACACACCTCCTCCAACAAGGCCACACCTCCTAGTCCTTCCTAAGCAGTTTCACCAACTTGGAACCACACATTCAAACATGAGCCTATGGGGGCCGTTCTCATTCAAACCACCACCGTTATGGTTCATCGGAGCAGGGAACATGAGGTAGCAGGAACTTAAGACATCCAGTCCCATCACCTCCGCAGTGAAGAGTGGGGAAAATGAAGGCACACATGCTAACCCACGCTTGTCTTACTTCCTTCTCTTTTATAGAATCTAGGACCCAAACTCGGAGAACAGTGCTGCACACTTGCAAGCCAGGTCTTCCCACATCAATGAATGGAACTGAGACAATTCTCCACAGGCATGCCCAAGGCTAATCTAGTCTAGACAATGTCTCGCTGAGACTCCTTTTTCAGATGGTTCTTGTGATTCTAGATTGTGTCAAGTGGATCGGTACAACTAGCCACCACATGTGGCAATCAAGTTATAACATGATTTAAAGAGTGAGAGACTTCAGACCACAGGTGGAAGGAAATATCAACATGAACACACCCTGGCACTCACTAGCTCTTCCATTTCTTACGTACCCACCATCTCTCTGATGTATGCTTCATTGGATACCCATTGAAAACACCAATCAGATTTTGAGTCCATTCAAATTACAGCCTATTAAGGTCCAAAGATTGTATCATGAAATGTAATCAAACACTGTTGGGAGACTACACATGACTAATACCATCAACCCCACTCCATAGGTTTAGCTGTGGACTGGCAAACCCATCTCCTCCGACCTCAATGCCATTACAGCTACTTCCAGCAACAGTCAAGACCCACTGCTTGGCTCACTTGCAGAATCCGAAAATAGAATGGGTCCACATCGACCATCTCACTTCAAACATTAGAATGGAAAAAGGGAAAGCAGCAATGAATCCAGCACTTTCCAGGGCTTGGCTACCACAGCAAATGCTGGCTGAGCCAATCCATGAATACTAATCTCCCTGGGATTCAAACAGGCTGAACATTTTAGTTCAGAGACAGAGAGCTCATCTCTGCGTTAACACTAATGAATACTTGGGTCTTCTGTGGAGGTCATTGCTCTAGTCTTTAGTTGATGATTACAAGAAAGGGAAGGCAGGGCCCAATGAGGAGCCAGGCAGGGGGTGAATCCGAAGAGGCACCCAGCACACAAACTCACCGGTAGATGATGCCTTTCTCATGCAGGAACATGAGCGCAGAAATGATCTCCGCAGCATAGAAACGAGCTCGGGCTTCATCAAAGCGACGGGACTTTTGAATGTGAAACATCAGGTCCCCTCCGTTCACAAACTCCATGACGAAGAACAGACGATCCTAGATGAAACATGTGGGGATTGATTAGCCTACTGTTTGCTCATCAGCATTGTGCTCCCTGGAAGAGACATCTCTGCCTGTGAGCAGAGAGTAGAGGATGGTCCTGTGGGCTCAGGTCCTCGATCCCATAGGAAAGGATGGCATGGAAATCCCCTTTAGGTAGTTCCACACAACCTTGACTTTCTACATACGCAAAGCATCAAGAAACCTTGGTTCTCTTTCCAGCCTGATACATGAAAGATCCCAAAACGGAAGAGAGCGTGGGCATTAAGTCCTCTGGCAAACATCTTCATTGGAGCATACAGGGTTATTCAGAGAGTAAAGGACACTGGGCAGGGTGCTTCATTCCTCACAAATGAGCAAAAAATAAACAAACAAAAAAAAGGATAAACTCCTTTAGAGAACTCAGGCTAATGAAGCCCAATTGACAATCTCTGTTAGAAATGCCTCCATCATATCAGAAGTGGACATAAAGCCCACCGGAGGTCCCCTCGGGTGGTCTCTCACCAGGCAGGGAAAATGGACTCCTAACAAAGCTTCCTCTGCTGCAGCCTAGGGACTATACAAGTCATGCACCAAGGACTCATGGACTGTAAGACTGCTTCGTGACAGCAAGGTCCATCTAGCAAGCAATTGCTGAGACATATAGGGTAAAAGGCTTGTGTCTAAGGACCTCTACCATCAGTGGGTCCCCTCACTTCCTTCCCTGAGCACTGAATGGGGTGCTGGGAACCCAACAAAGAAGCCCATAGACATAAAGCAGATATGTTTTCCCTTTAGAAAGGCTGGTAGGAGAAACACGGGGTTCTTAAAACAGAAACAGCAAATCTACACATTCTGGTAAAGCTGTGGCGGAGGCGGTGGAGGAAGCGGAGACATCTGACACTGCGTGGGGTTTGGTGAGGTGCCTGAGCAAGAGTCCTGTGTGAGTCAAGGCCTGCAGGTGAGTTCCAGACTTCAGAGATGGCGCTGCCCTTTCTGGGGGTGGGAATGTGGGCGGTCACTGTATGGGCAAACTGGTGTTTTATCAAAGGATGTATACATGCAAGAACCCGCCTTTACTTGGGGGTTTGAGATGCCACCGATTTAGCTCCGGGTGGCTGGGCTGAACCATGGCAGGGAGTCTGGCTTGGGCTCACTTCCCAGGTATTGCTGCAGCACATCAAGCAGAGCTCTATCAGGGCGGAGTGACCCGTGATTTCCCACTTCCTGTAGTAAGTAAAACCTCAATCAGAAGGGGAGGGAATCAACCCTCTGTGTGTGTGTGTGTGTGTGTGTGTGTGTGTGTGTGTGTGTGTAAACGACATCTGTTTCTATCAGCTAGAAGCATGAAGTTAAGAGTGAGAACAAAAGGGAAAAGTTCATAAAAATAAAAATAATAATAATAAAAAAAAACCACCACCAACTCAGCTCTTCAGGTTTCCCCATAGCCCAAGGGAAGACTAAACAAATATAGCAAGCCCTGTGACTAAGCTAAGGGCCCTCCTTTGAGTCTGAGTGGCAGAGGGAGAGGCAGAACGGGGTGGATGGGTTCAGATGAGCAATGGCGGTCCAGCATTCCATGGGCAGGAGTCCAGTGGGTGGGTGGGCCATGTTAGCAAATGAGTTCGGGAGAGGGTTAGCCCTCCAGAGACAACTGCAGAAGCAATAGGGGCACAGGAAGTTGTTATGCCAACACAGGCCTCATCTGCAGGGGTAACTCCTAACACAGGCCTCATCTGCAGGGGTAGCCCCAGGGGTCTGAGGAAGACTACCATGGAAAAAGCCTCCCTGCAGTGTCCCCGAACAAGGAGCGCAGCTTCCTGCTTCTTGTGAGCCGGACTATTCACCTTCCTCGTGGATGTGGCTGGCAGCCAGCCATTTGAATTCTAGTTGCTCTGAACATCCCATGACCGGAAGTGAGTCCGGAGGTAAGCGGCCACTCTGAGGGAGGCTGTGAGTTAGTGTCCTCCACAAGAGTTTCCAAGGCAGCAGGGGTCATCAAAAGATAAAGTCATCAATTAAGAAGGAACTCTCTTCCACACACAATGTCTTTTTCATATTCAAAATCTACAAAGCCAGACCCTCGGCCAAATGGCAGGTGTGAGGGTAGGACATGCTGCCTTCAAGTCCTTTTCTTTCCTCTACATCTTGGCTCTACTCACAGCTCCAGGGTTTGGGGGGCAGATCTCGACCTACAGAATCTGGCACTTCCTCCTTGGCTACATCTGGAGAGGGTCGGGATCTTTAGATTTGAAGCGGAGGATGTTTTGTTCAAGGTCCTCGCTTATTTCCATCCAGAGTCTCGCTCCTATTATGGGCCTGGCACGAACCTAGAATACAGGGTCCCATTCACAGCTCCCGGGCTGCAATCAGCTCTCAAAGCAGGGAGAAAGGAAAAGCAAGATTGAGGACAGGTAACTGGGATAAAAGAAATCAAGAGCCATCCCCGCCAAGACCTCAAGTCACATGATGAAGTGCAAAACTATATTTGTCAGCCAACAACACGTTTTGCTTGTTTGATTTTTTTTTTTTAACTGCAAAGAAACCTCTAGAGACCTGAACTTTTACTGACCCTGTTCTAAAATGTCTACTAGGAGAGACGGTCCCACTATCGTTTCTCCAAGATTGCTATTACAGAGGAGGAAGAAAATGACAAGTCTCCACTATTTACAAAGAGACCTGTTTATCATCAATATAGTGTGTGCAGAGGGTGGGGGAGGAGAGATGGGATATCATCCAAAATAAAATTTTACTGAGCGTTTCACCCTCTGGCAAAGGTGCAATACACAGACTCTGAGGCTGCCACTGTTGGTGGATCCTAAGGAAGACGTTTTCAGGTCAGAAAAGAATGTGGATGTGTAGAATGCTTTCAGTTACAGCCAGAGAGAAGACCAAAAAAATAAAAATAAATAAATAAATAAATAAATAAAAGCCCTGTGTAATGACAGATATCAGCTTTAGGTTGTGGGATGGGGGTGGGGGTGGCATCCCTTTCTACTTCTGTGGACCTCTTGAAGGTTTCTAAAGTCTCATGGTCTTCCTTCACACTTTTCGTACTGGGATTTGAAAGAAGGGTAAGAACATATTGGAAAACGTGTCATTGTAAAGTGTTTCACAGAAGCATCCTCTAGGTGGTGGGAAGCAAAAGGAGGCTTCATACCCTGCTCTCTGTTATTGAGGGTCATCAATAACCACCCTTTCTCTCAAGGATCCCCGCTGTATCATGCTTATTGGAATGGCATCCCAAACCAGAGCCAACTGGCTGTGGACTGTATCTCGGGAGCTGCAAGGGTCTGAGTCCATGGGACCTCCTGAAGCTCTCTGAGACCTTCTTGCTTTCTTTAAGGGTCTGAGCAAGAACCACCATGTACTAGGCACACAGAGAACTCCAGGCCTTGGGCAGGGCCCATGCATCCTGAAGCAGATGTGGGCCTACACCTGCTCACAGATGTGTAGATGGGGCATGCCAGGCAGGTGGTGACGGTGGCAGAAGGGTCGTGGGGTCGTGGGGAAGGAGAGAGAGCAGCCTGGAGGCCAGGGTGGGGTTTGGGGAAAGCTCTTGAGAAGAGCTGACTCCCAGGTTTAGAAGGTGAAAAAGAGCAGGTCAGGCTAGAGAGGGAAGGTAGAGGATGGACAGATGTAATGCACAGCGGCCAGGTCTGACGCCAGGCAGAACACAGGCTGCTAAGGGCTGAAGCTGCTGAGCACAGAGCCTTCTGGATCCAGGCTGCTAGACTGATAATGAAGCCTTGGTAGAAGCAAGAGGCAAGTTTGGGAGGTGTTTGACCCCATCCTAGGTCAGCCACAACTGAGAAGGGCCTCAACTTCTCCCAATAAACACGATCATTCACCTAGTGCATTACAATTTGAAACCCAGTGCCTGGGATAAAACATGTGATGCTTGTGAGCTAAGGCTTGAAAAGACCCCAGTAAGTGCTGGAATATGTCATGTATAACAAAACATCAGTAACAAACCAAACCACCCCAGGGAAATCTTATTCCTTTGGAATGAACTGCATCAACCTCCAGGAAGCCATCACATGTGGTGGCAGCCCATCACAGAAGAGTTCTGTATTCGAGGTTCTGAAAGGAAGCAGGTGATGACCTCTTGCCTACAACTTCCCTTGGCATCCATGTTGGCCAAGAACTAGTCCCGAGGGTTACTTGCCCAATGCCCTGTGCTGTGAAACAAGATGAAGTCCTTTTGGGGAATCCTGCAATAGGGAGGGGCCGTGTAATGGATTAAGGTGGCTGTGAGTCACTTCTAGGGCAGGGAGAGCTCTGCTAATCCCACCCAGGCAGAGACAGAGGAGTCTTTCTGTAACCAAAATCTGTACACACAGCCGGTTGAGGACTCCTAACAGACAGCCAGTTTCCTAGAAGCTGAGCCCTAGCCTCAGCAGAACTCGCTTCACCTGTGGCTTTGGCTCCTTTAGGGCAGATTTGCCCTGACCTGTGGGCTAGGAAACCCAAGATCCAGGAGACTGGCTGAGCTTCAGTTCCAAAGCCAAGCCCTTTGTCTACACTGTGTGCCTCTCTCTGGTCTCTGATTCAGCTAACCACAAATGCGAGCCATCAGCATGGGATGATGAACACCTGGGGGAATAAACGCAACTCCGAAATCCCTTTGTCCCCACGCCCTGCATTAGTTACAGGCACAGAGTTCAAGGAGCTGGTGCACGGCAACAATAAAATTTCTGTCGTCATCTGCCCTGGTTCCATTAACCCACTGAGGCCTGTGCCAGCTTTCTGCCCTGGCTCTCCGGGGCATATCCTCTAAACTGGCAGTGGTAGTCAGCAGGAGACACTTCTTAAAGTTCTCTTTATAGGTTGCTCCTGGAAGTTGAAAATGATATGCAGCTAGATGAGGCGAGGCTTGGCTACAGGGTAGAGCTCCCCTAAGACGGGACAAGTAACAAAATGATTGTATGTAAGGGCCATGAAGACAACTGCTGTACCTCCCTCCCACACATGGCTAATTGGAAGGAGCCCACTTTCCCACGGTCTCTTCCCCAGAA